TGTGACACTAGATGTACGAGCAACGCATCCTATACAAAAATAATTTTTTTAAATTATTAAACAGATTATAAATCATAATTTATACATGCATTATATATTCCGACAAGTAAATAAAAAATTTCCTCAGATATAACAGACATATAAAATATACTGCGCATAATAGAACATAAGCAAAGTTAAAAAAAAAAAATGCTACAACTCACAATTTTTCTTTATACCTTTAACCTTAGAGCTAGCTGCTTCTGAAGCTTCTACGAATGTTCTTTGTAATTTTTTCTTTTGTTTTTCTCTATATTTTGCTGCGATATCCTCTGATAATTCCTTTACTAAATCCATTGTTTCCTGCGGATATCTGTAAGAAATTTATACAGACTTATATATACATATAAAATACGAAAATATATATGCATATAAAATACTTTAAATTTAGATTCATCACACACACACACACACACACAAATTTATATTGTAATATATTCTCTTTTAAAGAGACAAACGTGCAATAGCAGTTTATTGGATATTGCGATAAAACATAAGCAGCATTGGTATCACAATCTGTACCTGCATCCTAATAGTTCAACGTTAACAAATACTTGGGCTAAACAAACAAGTGCATCTTCCGAAAATTTGTCTTTATGAGCCAACAGAAAGTTACGCCTCAATTCCCAGTGTTCGTCGGATTCATATTCCACCTTGTGTTGTTCCACATCCCAATCCTCGTTTACGCTCATTTTTACTTGTTTCAGGCTTTTCTCAAAAAGAAATCTTCCAGACTTCTTTGGTTGACAAATTTATTCGGTCTTTGGAATAATTCTGCACAAACTATACAGTGAATAAATCACTTTATTTTCCTGTACTCTATTTTAGGTTAAGAAGAAAAACGTATTTGTCTATTCACATGGGGAGATTTATGAGAAAACATATGACCACTAGACAAAATGGGCATAGAGAGTTCTATATCCTGATTGGTCTAGTTCCATACGAGTTCAATTTTCGATGTATAGAGATGCGTTCAAAAATCCTACTAATAGGGTAAAATAGATTTATCCTGATTGGTCGATCAAATGCTGTTCTCCATAGGTAGGATTTTTAAATGCACACTAGTCTGATATAAGTTTTACACGACG